TATAAATGAGACCCCAGGTCTGTTATACATAAAACTGCTTTCAGATCAGTCTTGTTGTAACTGAAATATTTAGCAGCAAACACATGTATTTGTTCCACACACACTAGATTAGCCTATGTGGGCTGAGCATGCATTTGTTCCCTGACTGACAGGCTGACTGCATGATGAACACACAGCTTGTGCCCTGAGTCAAATAACTCGCCTCCTTACACTACTTTATTCCAGCTCAGTTGTTGAGTTTGCACTGTGGCAGCTTCATGCCACCTCTTCTTTACATCATATTGTCTTCTCTCTGTCTGTCTGCAGCAGGCTGGGGGTCTTTTCCCTACAGCTCTCTCAGAGAGCCTTCTTTTGTAATGATACATTTCAAGGACTTCTCAAGGACAAATTCACCAACAAAGACCACACCAGTGAGGATATGGAATTAGAATGGTTGAGGGATGAAGGGATGGGGAGAGGGTTGAGGGATGAAGGGATGAGGGTTGAGGGACGAATAATTAGGGATTAAGAGTAAGGCTTGGGGTCGAGGGATGAAGGGATGGGAGCAGAATTAGTTGTCGTGGATGGATGGATGAATGGAGTAGTTTGGAGATGGACGGTGTTGGCTGGCGGCAGGAAAATGGGAGGGAACCATGAATGAGTTAGGGTCTGCATAAGAAAAAGAAAGGGTTTGGGATAGGGATGCATAATATGGATTTTTTTTCAGCCGAAACAACAACCAATAATTGCCTGCTTCTCATGGTCAAAACCGATAAGATAACAATATTTTCACAATTTTGTATTTTACAAAGAAGTTAACTTTTTTTACATACCTGAGGGAAAGGCTGAGATGTAGTGAGCAAGGATGGATGAAGCTCAATAAGAAACGTAATTCATTAATTCCTCATCAGCTGTAATTTAATTATATAGATAATTTATAATAATATAAATTTCCCATTATCGGAAGATAATTTATCTGATAATTATCATGCATCCATAGTGCATTGGGCAGTCTCATTAAATATGCACTTATTTGCGTGTCAGCAAAATACATTTTTAGTCCCAACAAATTAAGTCAAAACTTATTGTGAACAAAAACTAAATAGCTATTAATGTTTTAAGTTGTAAAATGGCATGTGTGCTGACATTTCTTCCACATAAAATGCATAGATGCCGAGATATCAAAAACAGTCTCTGACCATTACCGGCTATATCTTCAGGGAATCGATATGTGAAATTTGGTTTTGAGAAAAATAAAAATTAAATTTTGAGAAAATGGCCCCAGGATGTTCAGCTATTGAATGTCTGTGTCTGGCCTTAGTACACCCTTTCTTTTTTGACAAATGGTATCAGGTGAATTTTGAGATGAGGGAGCGCGCAAGGATCCAACTCAGAGAGACTAGTATGTTAAATCAAAGCACTTTTAAGGACTTCTTTGTTGCTTGGTAAATCCAAACCCTTTCAAGATCTTTTCTGCAAAAACAGCCCTATCTAACAGTATAATAAAATGTTCTTGTAATTTTCCAGAAAATTTGAGATTTCTTTTTTGCAGTGAAGCACTTTCAAGTACTTTCCAGACCTGTTTGCAAGCTATTGAATCCAGTTTTTATGCATCAGATACTGGAATATAAATGTAATTTTTGTATACATTAAGCATAAAAAACAGTCTGTGGTGTGAGATTTTGTGGACCTCATCCTGACCATAACTGTAATATTGATTGATCAATAGGTGATTGAGCCAATGGCATGTGAGGGGCTGAGGACCATCTGCATCGCATACCGTGACCTGCCATCCAATCCGGAGCCAGACTGGGAAAACGAGGCAGAAATAGTGACAGAGTTGACCTGCATCACTGTGGTTGGGATAGAGGACCCTGTGCGGCCTGAGGTATGGCACTGTGGAGTGTGTGTGTCTTTAGTTTCAGGTGGTACTGTGAGTGTGTGCCATCCAAAATATGTGATTATTTAAAATTATTTCTCTGTGCCTCTCAGGTGCCTGAAGCCATCCGTAAGTGTCAGCGTGCAGGCATCACGGTGCGGATGGTGACCGGTGATAACATTAACACAGCCAGGGCCATTGCTGCTAAATGCGGCATCATCCACCCTGGGGATGACTTTATCTGTATAGAGGGCAAAGACTTCAACCGACGAATCAGGAACGAGAAAGGAGAGGTGAGTTGGGCAATCTTGTGGGTTAAGTGCAGGGTGAACTCATGTTTTCTATTTCTGTTTCATTTAAAATGAACTAAAAATGGATGTTAACAATATATCTATGGTGGGAGGAGCACATCTGACCATCCCACTTACATCACTGGTTTCATCTAGCCTTTAATATCTACTGTCAGTCAGATTAACGTGTACTGGTAAATGCTGATACATTTAGGTATATATCTATAGAGTTATTTTAGTGCCAGCACAAACTGAAAATGAATTGAATAGTTTTGAATTTAAAATGTTCATACAGAATATTGTATGCAAATTGGAAATTGTATTTCACTGATGAAAATGTAATCTAATAGTTTGAGATTCAATTTAACTTGTATTGCTCTAGTTTAAGTATTTGAATTTGAAATTGTGTAGTATTTTGATAGTATTATATGTTTCATTTTAAAATTAATTTAAAAAAATTTATTTTCTGTGTACCATTAGAGAGAGTTAACATACCATCAGTGGAATACGTACCATAGTTTGAGAACAAGCGACCAACTAAGTTGGATGTGCAAATACACTGCCCGTCCCAAAAAGAAGTCACACACTCTAATATTTCGTTGGACTGCCTTTAGCTTTGAGTACGGCACGCATTCGCTGGGGCATCAT